AAAAAAAAAAGAAACCCAGACTCCACCTTTGCACTGAAGGGATTGGTTATGCAAATATGGAAGGGGTTTCCTGGCAAATACAGCTTTCTACTGTATGGTTAATTAAATCATCACTCAAAAGCCTTCCAATGTGACGCTTCTGTCGTAATCCAATCAGGTTACGTAGGTCCTAAACAAGAAAGATATTTTCCACATCTGGAAGTCAGCAATTTAGCAAGTACTGCACATTATTAACCAATTCAGAGCCCACTTCCCAGGGGGATATTTTTTTCTTTCCCTTTTTTTTTTTCTTTTTCCTGAAAAATAATGAAACAATTGACAGGGAAATTAAGAGTGTCTACAGTAGTCATTTGGTTTCCGGGTTTGGGGATTTTTTTTTTTCTTTTCTTTTTTTTTTCCTCTTTTTTTTTTTTTTTTGAAGTTTAAAGTGTTCTTAACCGCTGCTCCGCTGTTTTGTTAATCAAAAAAGCTGGGTTTACGCCGCGCGTAATTGAGAAGTAATACCCAAGTAAGTAAAGGCAGCCCGAGCTGGGGATGCTGAGCGGTTATCTGCAAAAATTGGGGGGGGGGAAAGTGAAGATGACAGGGCTGAGCCCCGAATCCTCTCATGCCCAACTCCCAGCACAACCCGCAGCCTTTTCCTCCTCCAAAAGAGCTGGAAATAGTCCGGAACCAGAGATAAACTTCACATCTTGCCCCACTCGTGCGCTCCTTTCCTAAGGTGACCGTGGAGCTGCCCAAAGGGCTGTGTTAAAGAGCTGCGAAACAATTTCCCTCCTTTGACAAGAGTTAAATCCCTTACAGCACTTTTTTTTTTTCTGTTTTCCTTCTTTTTTTTTTTCCTTTTTTTTCTTTTTTTTTGAAGAGTGGAACCGTGCCTGTTGGAACGAACCGTGGGGAGCCTGTGAAGGTCAGACCAGGAGGACTCTTCCTTGAATTCTAACGAGAAATGCTGACTCCTGCCTCAGTGTGGGCTGAATTCCTTCCCTGTGTCCTCGTGGCTTCATGGTTTTTTTTTTTTTTTTTTTTTTTCCCTTTTTTTTTCTTTTTTTTTTCTTTTTTTTTTTTCTTTTTTTTTTCCTCCTCCCCCTCCTGCAGCAAACTGAAACAAATGGCACACTGCTCCGACACCACACTTTTACTTCCATTAAGCTAAAAGCCAAACTGCGCGGTGACTTGGGTGCCTGCAGCAAGAACTGGGACCGCCAGAGCCGTGGCCATCGCGCTCCTAGTGGGAGCCCCTGGGTGATGCAGGGATGAGGGCGCAGGGGATGGGAGGGGGGGTCCGGGGCGCAAGGGCTTCGGAGGGGGGGGGTGTTGGAGAAATAACCCCCCCAAATCCGCCCCCCGGGTGTCCCCCGCTCCATCCCCGAGCCGCGGGTCGGTGCGCGGCAGGCGGGGGGGGAAGGGAAGGTGGGGGGGGGGAAGGAAGGCTGCGCCCTGTTTGCGCCCTGCCTGCGCGCTGCCTGCGCGGGGTGCCAGCCCGGTTGCGCCGGGAGGAGGGTGCGCAAGGGCTGCCAGCCGCGGAGCGGCTTAAAGCAAATCTGCCGCTGAAAATCCGCAATTATGCAAAGGTGGGAGCAAGGTTCTCTAACGTTTTTTAATGATTATTTATATTTATATTGATTTTTTTTCCCCTGGAACGAGTTATCTTGACTTAGCTAAAAGTTGTTTGGTTTTTTTTCTTTTAATTTTTTAAAATTTTTAAATTTTTCTGCCACTATTCACTAAATGCCCACATTATTTTCTTGCAGGATACACAATTTATCCGTGCCTAAATATACCTGTATTCGCAGAGCCGTATCACACACACACAAAGTGATGATATCTTAATGAAATATACAGCACGCTGCAAATCTCCTGAAATCAGATTCAAGTATTATTAATTTGAATTAGATCCTCTCAGATCCAGAAGACACTGCCTATAAATCAAGGGCAGTCTGGCAATTCCTTAAAGAGCTAAACTGAATTTAGATTGCATATGATAAAAAGAAAGAAAAAGAAAAAAGTGAATGCTAATTACTGGCTCGCTCCATTTCCAGGCACCCGCATTTTCTATGAGAAAAAGGCAAAAAAAAAATACCAAAACTCAACCGGTAAGTTCTCAAGACAAATTAATCCCATTACAAACGCTTTACATATTGTTCCTACATTTCCAGATTACAAAACGAGAGGATGAAGCTGGAGATTAAGGGGAGCTGCAGCCCAACCTGCACTCGCGCCGTCGACGTCGTATCATTAAAATATATCTCTTCGGCTACACCGAAAAAACAAACCCTCGGAGCGTGGCGATGATGCTCAAAGGGCTTTAAGGAACACGTCGGTGTTGTCAGATAATCCCTATTCATAATTTTGCAGCCCTCAATCTCACAGTTTCTCCAGTGCCTCGGCAGGGCTGGCGTCGGAGCCACAAACAGCTCTGATTTTTGCCCGACTGGCACAACACCCCACCTTATTAGCTGTTATTTTAATGTGGTTCGGTGGGGGGGGTGGCATTTTTTTTAAATTTATTTTTATTTATTTTGTTTTTTAATTTTTGGACGCTGGACAGAAACATTTAGGCACCGGCTAAACCCTTCTGAGATGGATTTTAAGCTTAATCCAGGCGATGATTTCCTGCCCTGCTCTGAACTAATAACGGGCGTGCAGCTTCTTTAGGAGATGGGAATAATGCCAGCCTATAGATCCTGCCTTTCTTGGGGTGGTGCCCGGCTCCCAGCCCCTTCGTGGTCACCATCCCCATGCACAGCCTGTACCCCTTTTTATTTCAAACTTTGACAAATACCATTCCTCCCCCACCCCATCCATTTAAAACCAAACAGACCCAAAATATCCTCACAATCCCCAGCTCTCTCCTTGCACCAGGCACCTGGCGCGGTGGCTCGGAGATGGGGTTAAGGACAGTTCTCTGGGTGCAGGTTTTCCCTCATTTTTCCTCAAGTTTTCCCAGGTGGAAATGCCCAGAGGTGAGATGAGGGTGGAAGGGTGGTCCTGATGCAAACCTGCCTGAGCGATGCCACTTTTCCTCAAGTTTTCCCAGGTGGAAATGCCGAGATGGGTGGTCCTGATGCAAACCTGCCCGAGCGATGCCATGGGTGATGATGGCTGCCTCCTCCTCCTCAGTGGGTTTCCCTGTGTCCACCGAACCCATGGTGGTGGAGATAACCCTCCCCTTGGAGACAACCCCATGTCTTCCCCATCCCCAGGTGGGGCTGTAGGGCCAGCTGTGGGATAACCCTACTGCCCAGGGGTTTGTTACCATGAGAAAGGGGCTGTGCAGGGAAAGACCCCCCCTCCCAAACCCCCAAGGATCCCTGGTGTGATGGGCAGGTGAGAGCCACCAAAGGGGGCTGCGAGGCACAGGCCCTGGAGGACCTCGGCCTTCTGCTGAGACCTTTTTTGGTGGCTTTTGTAGGTGACATGGGCTGGTGGGATGATTCACGGCCTTATTTATTTGGGTGTGTTTGCTTTTTTCCCCAGCGCAAGATGAGTAATGGGGAGTGTGTTTTCTTCCCCGTGTGGAAGGAGGAAAATTGGGGGGAAATCAGCAAAGATGCTCCAGTTGATAGGCTTCAACTAATACATTTTAGAGGCTGGTGAAGACAGAGGTTCAACACCTCTATAAGCACATTAGCTGCCCCGAGGCTTTTACCTCGGCTCCTTCAGAGCCTGGGCTCTCCTAATATTTTTCCCAAAGCGTGGAAGTCTTCCTGCATTAGGAACTAGACATCCCCCTGTAGGGAACCCGGATGAGATGTGCCCACTTGCCACCAGAGCCTGGGGAGAACATCCTTCCCCACAGCCCAGCTCTTCCAGGGGACCTGCTGCCACAAGCTCTGGGCTCCCCTTGTGGGTGACATCTCTCTGGGGTGCAGAAGCCACCCTCGCCTTGGGAAAAAAGTGGGTGACATCTCTCTGGGGTGCAGAAGCCTTGGGAAAAAAATAGGAGGTTGGAAAATAAATAAAGAAAAAGAAAAAAAACCCCAACCAACCCAAAAAACAACAACAAAAATGTCCAGGGGGGGTTATTTTCTCCAGTTACCTGTGGTGTTAGAAGATAGGACAGACTGGAATAATTTTTCCAAGTGGGAAAAAGCCTTGTGTGGCCCCAAGATGCTGCTGGATACTTTTGCTGGATACAGGTGTCCTTATAAACTAAGATTTAGAGAGCAAAGGCCTGTATTTATTTATTTTTTTCCCATTTCCACACGGAGAAGAGGGCACGGAGGAGAGGAAGAAAGGGTCAGGGAACGACTCTCTCCCCCCCCCACC